AGTAACTTTGTGCAGGTTCTGTGAAGAAGAAGAGGAAACAATATTCCACGTCCTGTGCCAATGTGAATGCCTGGCTGGAACGAGGTTTCTAACATTTCTAACAACTACATGTGGGAGCCACTGTCAAAGCTACTAAGACTAATAAAAAAGACCAGGTTAGATGACATACTCTAAAACAAACAGGAGTCCCACAATAGATCTGAAAAGGTTGCGGTGGACAAGGACAAATAACGTCGAACTCATAATCTAATCTACCTACATGAAAAAATCATCATAATTATATTACTAAAAAAATCTGATGTGTCCAACACATGACTTTCCTATCTAGTTATTACAGGCTTTTTCCGGTTATTTTGTACAACCTATTGCAGCATCTCTATAAATGTTTAGAGGATAAACTAAATATATACATTGTCCACATACATCTACCGCGAAACATTTTTCTATAGATATTCATTGAAAATGAAAATACTGAAAAATTTAAATTTAGCACTTTTCCTACAATTTTTCCATTACGGTCCATTTTAAAAAAATCATGTATGAACAAATATTATAGAGATCGATATCGCAAACAACTTTTATTTTAACAATTTTCATAAAAATCAGAATTTTGCACATTTTGTCAAATTTTTCGAATACGGACCATTTCAGGAAATTTTTACATAAAGCAAAAATTATAGATAATAATATTAGAAGTAACTTTTATTTGAACAATTTTTTTCTCCAAACATAAATAACAGATATATTCCATAAAATATAAAAACGGCCTCCCATAAAATACCCCCCCAGATGTTCCGACTTTGTCCAAAATCTAATATATTCACGTCAGGCCGAAATAAACCTTAAGTTTAAAATTTAATGTTTTTTCCTTTATCCGTTTTTGAGTTTTCTTCAAATTTCGAAATTTACACATTTTCTCAAATATCTCGAATACGGTCCATTTTAGAGAAATTATGTATAGAATAAAAATTATAGAGAATTATATTGCAAACAACTTTTATTTGAACAATTTTTATAAAAAATTATTTTTTTTACATTTTGTCAAATTTCTCGAATACGGACCATTTTAGGAAAATTTTATATAAAACAAAAATTATAGACAATAATATTATAAGTAACTTTTATTTGAAGAATTTTCTTCTCCAAACGTAAATAACGAATATATTCCATAAAATATAAAAATGACCACCCATAAAGTACCCCCCCAGATGTTCCGACTCTGCCCAAAATCTAATCAGCTCATTGGACGCTGAAACAAAGCTTAAGTTTAAAATTTGGTGTTTTTATGTGTATCGGTTCATGAGTTATGCGTTATACAGACACACACACACCACACACACACACACACACACACACACACACACACACACACACACACACACACACACACACACACACACACACACACACACACACACACACACACACACACACACACACACACACACACACACACACACACACACACACACACACACACACACACACACACACACACACACACACACACACACACACACACACACACACACACACACACACACACACACACACACACACACACACACACACACACACACACACACACACACACACACACACACACACACACACACACACACACACACACACACACACACACACACACACACACACACACACACACACACACACACACACACACACACACACACACACACACACACACACACACACACACACACACACACACACACACACACACACACACACACACACACACACACACACACACACACACACACACACACACACACACACACACACACACACACACACACACACACACACACACACACACACACACACACACACACACACACACACACACACACACACACACACACACACACACACACACACACACACACACACACACACACACACACACACACACACACACACACACACACACACACACACACACACACACACACACACACACACACACACACACACACACACACACACACACACACACACACACACACACACACACACACACACACACACACACACACACACACACACACACACACACACACACACACACACACACACACACACACACACACACACACACACACACACACACACACACACACACACACACACACACACACACACACACACACACACACACACACACACACACACACACACACACACACACACACACACACACACACACACACACACACACACACACACACACACACACACACACACACACACACACACACACACACACACACACACACACACACACACACACACACACACACACACACACACACACACACACACACACACACACACACACACACACACACACACACACACACACACACACACACACACACACACACACACACACACACACACACACACACACACACACACACACACACACACACACACACACACACACACACACACACACACACACACACACACACACACACACACACACACACACACACACACACACACACACACACACACACACACACACACACACACACACACACACACACACACACACACACACACACACACACACACACACACACACACACACACACACACACACACACACACACACACACACACACACACACACACACACACACACACACACACACACACACACACACACACACAGACAGACATCATCGCGAAAATAGTCAAAACGGATTCAGGGGACCTCAAAACGTAAAAATCCGTCAAAAACTCGAGGTCGAAAAAAATCATGATTCCTATACTTTCCTTATATCTGTATACAGATAGGAAAGTAAAAATATACCTACATATTTACGTATTTTTTTAACATACTACTCTGACAATACTGGTAAGTTTAAAACTCTACGCCACTGGCGAGCATATTATGGACACTGTTAACAACGTTGCCAGCCGGTCATAAGAGATCTATCCTTCTCTCTTCCACTCACTAACAATTTTAAAACAATAACAGTCCGCAATTGTATGGGATTTATGAATGAAACATTTTGTCTATATGTTGTAATGTCTTTGGTTCTGAATAAATTTATGTCTTATTGCCATAAAATTTTTTATCGAATTTAAATTTAATCAATCTAGAATCACGAAAAAAAATTCTGATATAATGTTTATGCACAGAATACTTAATCTTCAAATAGACTGCATTGAAATAATTACTCTCCTTCAATTTAATTGTTCTAATTATAATACTAGAAATATTAATACATTTTTTCTTAACAAGGCAGCAACCAACTACTATTTAAATGCTTCCCTCCGTAGAATATCAAAAACTTGTAATCAGTTGTCAAAATAGTTAACGTAGATATTTTCTTTCATAATTTTATGTTCATAAAGAAAGCACTGTTAAAATATTTTCTAAATCAGAATATGTAATCTCTCTTGTTGATAGTTTTTAGTTTTATTTTTGAGTAGGTATTATTGTAAATGATATGATTATTGTATAACTTTGTACTATATATTGTATAATCTGGTGGACACTTTTTCCCATGGTAATTTAGTTTTCGTATTCTCAACACTAGCGGTGGAATATTTTCCAATGAGAAGTATGGGAAAATATTCCCCTGCTTACGAGCATTGGAAATTGTGTTTTCCAATGGGAATTGTACTAGAGTTTGCGCATTAAAGTCGAAAATTTGACGAAGGACTAACACATAACCAAAGATTTTCGGATATCTTGGATTTTTGGTGAAATTGTAGTTAAAACATTTTTTTGGCGTATTTATAGATTTTTACTTGTTTGTACTTATTATTTAAGTTGATTGATATTATTTTATTTATGTAGGTATATTATTTTTACTTTTCTTTCACTAAGAAACTGGATGAGCTGATTTTCTTAAATCAGTTAGAAATTGTGGGAGCTGCAGAGGGACTGGCAAATAATACAAATTGAGAAATTTGTAGTAATTTGAATAATGACTCTTTCGAAAATTTTATTATTACCGTTAACGAAGGAATTTCTTAGTTTCTCGAAACTTTCGTTGCTCTTCCGTACAAAAGCTACTTTTTCTTTTTTCAACATGTAAAAAGAAAAGCTAATAATTCAACAAGTTTTAATTATACAATCGAATATTTTCCCTTGTTCCTCGGTCATGCTAGCGATTGCTCGACTCGGCACGACACCTGCTCCGGAGCGGGGGCTCGGCAGGTAATAGGTTACCCACAAACCACAACAAATACCGATAATGCCAACAGTAAATTTTAAAATATCTTTAATGTTATTGGTTGTTTCGAAATATTCGCGGACTTAATATCAGACATACGTGAAACTACTATTTCCATGGGAATGTCTATTCCGACAAGTTCGAGAATTGCATAACCTATTACCATGGAAATATAATTAGTGGAATCTTTTCCCATGGGTAAATTTTCCAATGAACTCGAGAATCGAGCCCCAGGAGAAAAAAAAAAAACAGTGAACTAGTGCTTATATTCTGAATATAATGGAACGCATAATGTAATTTCGTATTCTAAATAAATTAAACTTAAAAATGTATTCTATTTTTCACTTAAAACAAGTGACATTTTTCATTTTTCAATATTTACCGACATTATTTATTGTTTATTCTAGTTGTAAAATAGGAAAATGTGACTTCAAATATCATAAATGTTGATGCCGGCCACTATTCAAATTGCTTTACCTAGTAGTGTCCTACTTTATCAACTGTTGTCTAAGGGTTAAGGTCAATCGTAAGCGCCTAGCTCGCTATTGTCGAGGTCAAGAAAACTTGTTATCAACTATTTATAGGAAGATGGCCACTATAGCAATGGTAATAGATGAACACGCCCAATGTGGGAATAGCATCAAATATGAAGTCTTATTTGTGCCTTATACAGCATCAGGAATTTATGGCGAAAAATGCTTTAAATCGGAATCCCATATTGATAATCTCATTTACACACACATAATCTACAAACTATATTAAATGCTTTTTTTTATTTACCATAGGACGTAGAAGACCAAGTTTCACTTGGCATACCCTATCTAGATCATTATCCAGGCCCCACGAGTGCAACAGAGACAACAGAAGTTGTGCTATTTCCATACCATGACTAGCTTCGAGAGGACCCAATGAATTTGGTTTATTATTTTTAGAATTGGCTTCATTGGTATCTAAAAATTATAAATAGTGATTTGAACTTTTATATATTGTACAATTTCGATAAATCCACTTCAAGTGAGTTTACTTTTTTGTTGATTATCATTGAAACAAATCAATAAAAAAATTAACTCTACTGACAATAAAGAGTGGGACAAATGTCAAGTAATTTTTTGACACATGACATTGTTTTTAAACAAAAATGTTATGGCTGAAATCACAAAGGATAAGCTAATACACTGAATAGGACAACACTAGACGACATTGTACAAAAATACATTTATTTTAATATTAAAATACCTTTCAAGTGATCTCCTGATTGTTTTAATACACTTTCGGCTTTTGCTATCGCTGTTTCGGCACCTTCTTTCATTTTTGCCAGTATTCCTGCAAACCAGGAATACAGACTTTAACAATTTTACATAAATTAAGCCAATATTTTAGACGAAATCTGGTGAATGTGAAAACATAAATGAATGGGTGCAAAATGATAAATATACAAACGATCGAGATAAAAGCATATATAAAAACTGAAATACCAGAAAAATAAAAGTGTTACTAAAAAATTATTAATTACCATGCTTATCTTTTTCCTTAATTATCATTTCCATGTTTTCAGCCTTATTTTTCATTTTTCCGAAAAAGTCTTGCACAAAAAGAATCAATAGAATTAGATTTTTTGCAAAAAACTACAGCCATGGCTCGTCAAGCAAATATACTTAATATTTTTTACTTAAATCATTGTACATTATTGTCGGAAACAAATTTTGGACTCTAAAATCCATTACAGCTCATAGTGATTGTACCGAGAAGCAGTTGACCAGTATAAAATATAACATATTTACGCGGTGATGTACGATCAAATAATGATCACGTATGTCACCACTTCTCAGCGCTCAAGGGTGGTCCAATCACCACTACTAATAAATTAAGGTAAAGGACGTGTATTTCATTCTCCCAGTTTGGAGCGGGCCGCTACATGCTTTCCTAGCCTCTTCAGCTGCACTGGAGGGATGGGGAGGAGGGTATCCAAGAGGATGTTACTGACTCAGAATTTACAGTTTATTTGAAAATTAATGATAGCAAAATTTTCATGTCCCAATATAACATAAATCAATGACGGAGAATTTCTAAAATAAAATATTTAGCATTTGTTTCAAAAAAATATCTTTGGTTTTCTTCCTAAAATTTTAAAAAATTTCAATTTATCACAACTCTTGTCTTAAATTTTCTAGTCTTTTTAATCAACAAAATCAGGTAAGTATGTAATATCTACAGGTAGAAAATATTTACAATTCAAGATCAATTTAAGTAGCGCTCTTAGAAAGCATTAAAATTTCTAATCGGTAGAAAGTGTTATGTAGATTGGTAATTTATGATTTACATTTCTGTTTATATAGTCTTGTGATTGTAACATGCAGAATAGTTAGTTCTGTAATAATAGGCAATAAAAAGCGATATTGGTCAAGTGAATTTGTGCAATAAAAATGGCACAAGCGTCTAATTATACTCCTGTGAAAGTAAAGTGCAATTTAACCGTGCATATGAAAACTTTAGTGTTAAATGTACATGACGCTCTTGTACATAACATTTCAATAGTACTGTTCGGAGTATAGTTTCTAATAGCGTCTTCGAATCTACTGCACGGCTTGCACTGAGTGCATATGAAAGGTGGGAGATATGTCAATACCAGTTACTTTTCAATCTGAAATGTAACCAGTATCGATATATCGCTCATCTTTTATGTGCACTCCACGCAGGCAGGGCAGTGGAATCGAAGACGCTATAAGTGTTCAAATGTGACTGGAGTTGGAGAAGCAACCATTTATAGATTTTTGAAGCAACGAAAGGATGGAAATATTACAGTAGCACTAATAATGTCAACTGAGAATATGAAACAACTGATCCGAAGAAAAGTGCATTCTTTTTATTTACAAAAAAAGATATCTACTTTGGATAAACTTTTAGTAGACATTAATGGAGAAGAAATTTTGCCAAATGTTAAAAGATACAAATTGTGGAAAATTTTACATGAATTAGACTTCGTTTGAGAGAAGAACGATAAAATATCTGTGCTCATAGAGAAAGATGAAATTATTTGTTGAAGGATGCAATATTTAAGGGAAATTAGAAAATTAAGTAGAGAAGACAAAAATATTTTTTATTTGGATAAAACATGAATAAATGAAAGTCATTTTATAAAAAAAGTTTTTGCAAGATAAACAGGTTACATAGGCTCGTCAGACATTTATAGAAGGTTTGTCTACTGGCTTAAAATTATCAAATGGTAAAGGTCGCCATTTAATTATCACTCATATTGGAGGAGATAAAGGATTTGTTGATAGAGGCTTGTTAGAATTTGTTTTAAATTCCACAGAAGACTATCATGAAGAAATTACTGCTGATGATTTTGAGGAATATTTCATTCAAATGATAGATTTATTATCGACCAATTCTGTAATAGTTATGGACAATGCCAGTTACGATTCAAGATTAAAGGAACCGTTACCTAACACTAAATGGAAAAAACAAGAACTCTCCGATTGGCTAATAACCAAAGAAATAGTGACAAAAGAGGGATTACTCAAAACATAGCTATTGCAGTTATGTAAACATTCACCAAAATTTAAGAAGTATAGTGTGGATGAAATAGCAAAAGAACATGGAGGTAAAGTGTTGTGGTTACCACCTTATCACTGTGGAATTAACCCTACTGTACTAATAGACCTTTTCATCATGTGATGAGAGCAAGCGCAATCGCCATGTTGAAATAGCGCCAATTCAAAAGTTTCGTACTGTTTTGATCAACAATGGCTGGAAAAGCAATATTATCTCTACATACAAATCAATCATTAGAAAAAATCATTGATGATGATTTACATTTTTATAACTCTGTGGAAGCACATAGTTGTGAGCAATTAAAAAAGTTCTTGAAGTGACGTGTACGTTCGGAACAAGGAAAAAAAAAATACGTGTGGCACTCGGGGACTGCCGCGGTAAAGCTATTGCATAGCATTTTTTATCAACTTATGAAATTATAATTATTTATTTTATTTATGCAGTATTTTTTTTTTGATATTAATTCAAGTTTTTCCTTCGATATTAATTCAAGTTACACTTTTTGAGCATGGTGACCGATAAGAAAACATTTTTTTTTTCTTTTATTGAATAAATGAGAAGTTAATATTGTTTAAAATATTTTTATTATCTTACAATACATGTAGGTTATTCAGGAATGTTTATCATTGAAACTATAGGTTTATGGTAACTAAAATAAGAATCATAAGTTTGAGAGTTGATATCCTCTAAATATCTGGAAAATACCGCGTCAATGGTGGTCCCATATTTTGTTGTGGATTCTTGTGGATCATTATACATTTTCAAATTCAATTTTTCAGAAATCGTGTCTAATAGAGATAGAATCAGTTATGAGCAGTTAGCAGCTGGTGTACACGCATACGTCTAATCGCACGCACACAAACACCGTGCCGAAATCTGCCGAACTGAAACGACATTAGACGATGCACGGCTTTCAACGCCGCACCTCTGTGCCGGTCGGAGTGGAGGTGTTAGGTTTATTTTCGTTACGGAATGTCTATTTCGATTTTTTGATTTTTCGAATTTTTCGATTTTTCGTTTTTTCGATTTTTCGATTTTTTGAGTTTTGTTAGTGAGTCGTAGAAAAAATATATTGTACAACTCCAGTGGGCTCGAACTTACTCGTGGACGCGGCCAAAAGCACGCTGTCTCACCTAGCATTGAGTCTAAAAGAGATATAATCAGTTATGAGCAGTTAGCAGCTAGTCTACACGTATACGTCTAGCCGCACGCACACAAACACCGTGCCGAAGTCTGCCGAACTGAAACGACGTTAGACAATACAGACAATGGTTTATTTTCGCGGAATTTCTTGATTCGAACGCCGCGCTGCAAGCCAGCTATAGAAGCTATGCAATAGCTTAAAAATTAATATCTAATATTTACGCCTGCCGGGAACATTTGTGATACCAATTTATTAGAAGCTAGAGAAAGCTCTTCTAGTTCTTGTATTGCATAAATGTTCCAGTCCGCAGACGTATATTTAACTCCACTTCATACTAATACGAATAGGGTCGGAAAAACCTTCCATGGCTACATCGCCGTACCGCTGTGCCGGTCGGAGTGGGGGGTGTTAGGTTTTTTTCGTTACGGTGTTACGAAATTTCTTGATTCGGTCGCCACTCAAAGTCCGCGATAAAAGCTATGCAATAGCTTAAAAAGTGTGGTAATTCAGAGGTTAGGTTTCAATACATTTTTGGGTTAAGTGCATGTCTAACATTAAAAATGTCTAAACTATGTACTGACAGAACCAGATAATTCTATTAAACGTGGTATACGTTGATACGCATGTGCACATAAAAGACTAAGTGCATTTATGTTAGGTTTAAAAATTATTTAAATTTTACTTAGTGTATAAGGAAATACATGTTTTTAGTAAAGGTCGTTCTCTAAATGCAAATTAAAATCACAAAAGCGTACACAAAATGTAGGTCCATTTCGGAGACCTACTGAAATTGTGTAAAAGTGATGTTATCCCTGAAGATTACCATCAATATTACAAATCCTTGCTTACCTCTAAGAGGTAAAAGATTTAGTTCAAGAGCCAGCAGCTGAAGATTTTGAAAGATCTTCCTTTAGGAGAGCAGGATAAATGAAACAGGTACTTACACATCGAAAAGAAGAAAAGTGCACAAAAAAGTGTTTCTTTTGCTACATACTTTGGTAGTTTTTAAGTTTTATGATAAATTTGTCTACTGTTTAATATCCAATTATATTGTATTTAGTTTCTTAAGTAAAAACGGAGTTTTTTTATACCTGATTTTTCTCAAATGTTAAAGTTTTAAACATTAATAACTCAAAACTATAAAAATGTAACTTATCTTGTTTTAGCAGTAACCCGACGATATTGTGTTTTTTTTTTTTTTTTAATCCAACGCATTTACACCTAAAACACAAGTTTTGAAAAATCTCACGTGAGATTAGGGGAGGTAGGAGGGAGTTGAGGAAAATCTCACCAGGGGGGAGGGGGAGTCAAAAAATCCTCAAAAATATCTCACGTAATTAATGGACACCCCCATAGCAGAGGATGAGAAATTCTAGAAACTTGATATGTTAATATAGGAAACAATGGAACCAATTGGGGTTGGTGGTTCAGTGGTAGAGTCTGTGCCTGTGGATTTAAGGATCCCAGGTGCGAATCCCAACGTTGGTCGGGATTTTTTTATTTAATTTAATTATTTAAAATTAATTCTGATGCCTTGGTAGGATTCCCCACTCGACCATTCACTGTTGGATTCTAATTAACAGTGCTGTTCCTAAAGTGGCGCAAGGAAACAGTAACAAGGCCTGTCTGTAGCGGTGTAGGAGTATTAGAGTACTAATACTCCTGCACTTTGGAGTATTAGACTACTAGTACAATCCATAACCTACATAGAACACAAGGCTAATGACCTTAGATGTTGAAGCCAGACACCAAAGAAAAAAAAAGAACCAATTATTTCTGTGGGAAATAAGGAAACTGATAACTCCTTATCGGGAGAAAACAAGTTATTTATTTAGGTATGGAATCATCCTGTATTTCTAAAAACGAAATATGATAGCGTTTTCGATTCCAGTGCCCTGCCTGCGGGGAGTGCACATAAAAGATATATCAATACCGGTTACTTTTTAGAGTGACAAGTAACTGGTATCGACATATCTCCCACCTTTCGTATGCTCTTTATCTTTTGCAAAAAATTTTTTAGTACATCACTTAAATTTGGTTTTGTGTAAATTTATTATATGAGGTATAGAATTATTGGTTAACCCCTTACAGTTTGCTCATTTACATTTTATGATGTATTGTATTCGAGAGTTTTTGGAGTGGTCATAATAAAATCTAGTGAAAATTCAGATAAGAAGGTATTAATATAAACTATTTTCTGCTTTGAACAATCCTGTACATAGACCTTTGCCATTTTAAAATAAAGTATACCAATTACTATGATAAAACCTGTGAAAAACTCATAGCAGGCCAGGCGGCCGTGGGGATCGATCCCACGATCTCCCGAACGTGAGGCAGATGCGTTACCGCAGAGTCATCTCACTTGTTAATAAAGTTAAAATTGCTTTATACAGTGTGTCCAAAATTGGTGATGCATGTATTGCGATCTCCGAAACTGTTAGAGATAGAAAAACGGTTAAATGGGGAAAGTTTTAGACAATTAAGTTTATAATTCAGTGCGTTTAGTATGAGATTTTTTCTCTTTTGGTTTTTGAGATATTTTGAAAAAACTAAAACGACGCATTTCCGAAAATACCCTATATTTTCTTTATTTATGAAAATTTCTAAAATCTGTAAAACATTTCTTGGAGCAACTTTTTACGTAGAAAACGCCTGTGTCGTCAGATTTTATTTGCAACGTTTCGGTTTCTTGGAACCATCATCAACTTTGTTTTTTCATATGGGCATCATATTGGATTTTTACTGTTTTGAAACGCCCCTTTTTTTACCTTCCTAACGATGTATCAAAAAAGTTAGGTTATGGGTTAAAAAACCAAAAATTATGGTTTTGTTTTTAATTTGGCACAGTCACCCTATAAAACACTAACACTTAAGGAGATCCTATTACATTTAATCTCTAAACTGCAATTAATACCAAAATATCCTCATAATAGTTTATGTTTATGATAATATCACACTCTTACAATGTAACAAAAAATAACGTCAAAAAACCATAACTTTTGAAAAATACGTTAACGAAGTCAAATTATTATTTTTCAGAACACCCAATATGACCCAAAAATCATTTAATCATTTGGAATAACCAAAAAATAATTTGATGTACTTAATACATTTTCTCGCAATACATTAATACCCTAGTAAGGCTTTGGATTTAAGATAAATAAGGAATTATAAATCTGTCACAACTGTGAACGTTTTTTTTTATTTAAAACCATTTTATATTTTTGCTCGGGCCTAGTGTGCAGAATGGCAGAAAATTTCTCGAACGAAGAGAAGTTTGATATGTTAGTATCTTACATAAAAAAATGGAAGGAATGTGGATAGAGCCGCCAACAATTATTTGGAAGATTATACAGATAGACAACAACTCAACAGAAGGTATTTCTCCATACTTGTAATGAATTTACTTGAATTCAGAGCTTTTGGAAAACCTCGGCCTAAAAATTATGAGAAGGATAATGAGAATCGCAACAGAAATATTCAAGAATATTTTCATGAAAATCCTACGTCCTCTACAAGGATTGCTGGCAGAGATTTAGATATTGCTAAGTCAACAGTTCATGACGTCTTAAAAAACAACATTATCGTCCGCATAAACCCACCATTGTACAAGGACTTAAGGTGACTTTAACAGAAGAGTAACTTTTTGCAATTGGTACCAGGCCAAACGTCAAGAGAATTTGAACTTTCAAAATAACATTGTGTGGACGGATGAAACTTATGTCACAAATTGCGAAATATTTAACAAGCACAATCTCCATTACTGGGCTACCGAAAACCCTCAGTTGTGGGAACAGCGTAGATTGCAAGTTCGATTTGGCTTTAATGTTTGGTGCGGACTGTATGGTAAGATATTTTATACTTTGTTTTGCAAAATATTTATCGTCTTCCTTTTATCCTTTAAATTATTTTAATATTCCTGCCGTAAAAAGAAATTATTTTATTTTATTAGGAAACCGACTAATTGGGCCCTTTATTTATGATCACACAATGACTGGACAAAGATAACTTGCAATGTTGCAAAATGAAATAAATTAGGAAAGTTGTTCCAGATAACGAGTTCCATAACGTATGGTTTCAACATGACGGCTGCCCCGCCCATAATTCCAGGGAAGTACAAACTTTTTTATCTGAGATATTTAGTGAAAAAGTAATATCCAACAGTAGCCCGATGCGGTGGCCTGCGAGGTCTCCAGACCTCACCCCCATTAGACTTTTACTTGTGGGGACATGTCAAAATTGAAATTTATGAATTTGATCCCCCAGAAAGCAGAGAAGTCCTTGAGCAGCGTACGCGGGATGTTCTGTCGAATGTTAACCATAACACAATTCATCGTGTTACCAGATCCGTGACAAAAAAATGTCAGAAATGTATAGAAGCAAATGGGTCGCATTTTAAACTTTAGATTAAACATTTTATTTCCACAGATGTGGAAACGGTTAAACAACTTGAATAAAAATAAAAATGAATAGATAAAGAAATTTAAATTTGAAAATATTAATAATACTATTAATATGATTTAGCAAGTTGTAAATATCCCGAAATATCTAATTTTGGGAGTGAGGATGACCAGGAACTTGTTGGATACATTGTGGACAATAAGCACTGATGATGGCTAATAAGCCGAAAGCGCTTTGCATTTATTAATTAAAAAGTTTTGCACGAAATAAAAGTCTTTCCTTTTGAATCTAAACTACGTGCACACAGCTGTCAACCTTTTTTTGGTTATTTCAATTAAACATTTTATTTTAGTTATTATTATGCCAGTTGACAAATGAATGTTTTTTCCTTTCTTTCTTGTGCTAAAATTGTCACATAGGGGAAACTATTATAAGAATATTTTGTTATTAATTGTAGTTTAGAGATTAAATGTAATAGGATCTCCTTAAGTGTTAGTGTTTTATAGGGCGACGTTGCTAAATAAAAACAAAATCATAATTTTGGGTTTTGTAACCCATAACCTAATTTTTTTTACAAAGTATGATACATCGTTAGGAAGGTAAAAAGGGGCTTTTCAAAACAGTAAAAATCCAATATGGCGTCCATATGAAAAAACAAAGTTGATGATTGTTCCAAGAAACCAAAAATTTGCAAATAAAATCTGACGACACAGGCGTTCTCTACGTAAAAAGTTGTTACAGATTTTAGAAATTTTCATAAATAAAGAATATACAAGGTATTTTCGGAAATGCGTCATTTTAGTTTTTTCAAAATATCTTAAAAACCATAAGAGAAAAAATCTCAAACTAAACAGAATTGTCTAAAACTTTCGGAGATCGCAATACATGCATCACCAATTTCGGACACACTGTATATCCATTTCTAAAACAAATTTTGTCCGAAACAAACCAAAGCTATGTTGATCTCAAGTTCGTTTTATATACAGGTTATAACTCTATAATGATTGAAAATAAGGTGAAATGGTAAACCATTACACTCATAGAGTGATACAGTGAATTACTTGGTTATATGCACTGATCTGTATTATTTTACTGGATGGATATAGCCCCCTAAAAAACGTTCCGAAAAATTGGCCGATTTGGGCAAATAATATGGCGGACCGGATATGTTATTTAACGTAACCCGACGTAACCTCTATTTCCATTTGTCATCACATTTGTCATTAAATTGTGTCAACAAGCTACGATGAGATGTTTTTATTGTGGAAAGCAAAGTAAAAAGAGTATGAAATAAACAATAAACGTTCATTCCTGAAGACACAATATGCTTCACGTTTTCATTTTTATATTTTCTTTCATAAAAAATCATATCATGGGTGAAATTTCCCGAAGGACATCGCCCTCAAAAAGAATAGAAGAAGAATAAGAAGAAAAACTAATCAAATTATAGGTTAGGTATGTCAAATTACCCCAAATTTCAGTTCTGTGAACCCACCATAATTTGCCCAAATCGGCCAGCATTGTTGCACTTCCGGTCTCCTTGGTGGAACGATTTTTTAGTATGTTAGAATATAGCCTATATCCTATCCAGTAAAATAATACAGATCAGTGGTTATATGTTACTGATTAATTGCTTTTCATAGTACTCACTGGCTGTAGTGTATTCTAAAACCTATATTTCAAAATGTTTCTTTTAAATCTGTATAAAAAACACTAACTTTATTTTGTTTCAATAATTTGGTTCAAAAACTAAAAATTATTAGTATAAATACTTGAGAGCTAGGCTGTTATTCTTTGAATGTAAAAAGACAGGTATTAATAACTATTAAACCTCTTTCACCTACCTACGATTTTTCTATGAGCATCAGGACTGGCGCTTTGTGTTAATGCTGCCACTTTCAAATATTCAGTAGCGTTTATTAATCCAGCTGCTTCGAGACTACCAGGAGACATTGTTTCATATTCTTCACTCAGCAATTCTATTATCAAAGCTTCTATGTCAAAAAATAATATGTGACTTTCTGGATCTAAAACACAATTCAAATGTTTAAATTAAATTAAAAAAAAATATATCGATTTTTTTTTAACTACTCCCCGATCAGTTGTATTTGGTCTACTTAAAATCTGTAAATATATCGGATAAATATTTACCTTTGGGATTTGTTCTTAGGCCTTGTACGGAAAGCGGAGAATTGTGATTTCTCTGCATGTGGGGGTCATCATTGTTCGTATGAGCTCCAAGCATCTGAAGCTGATGAAGGCCTCTTTGGGTTGCATGTCGAATGGCAGACAAATTTCTATGTCTCAATCCTCTAAAGAAGATCAATCATTATGTATAGATTGACAACACTGATCTGTAATGTCACTGTCTAGGAAATAGCTGACTAAAAATGGTGACGAAAATTATGTAGACAAAAACACATGGCGTAATGGATATCTTTAATATGACACCTCATGTTTTATTGAATCTATGACTGTAATCAGTTTTCCTCTATAGCAAATCAAGACAACATGACAAAAAAGAGGAAAAAATGTGTTATACTCTTCATAAAAAAATATTTGATTTTATACCTTATTCATTCTTAGGTGTGTACAATATTTCAACGTAAATATCAACATAAAATATAGGTTACCTATGTCAAAATTCGTTTTTGGTTTTGAAACCTTTAACTGTCCTGAAGTAAAATAGGTAATTCTTTTTTTGTTTCTAAATATTCAAATGCTGAAATTTTATTTTAAAACACGTTTGAGCCAGAACGATTTTATTCAGTGAACACTTGGAAAGGCGCTTTTCGTAGTCCTATTTATATTTAAATATGAGTGAGCAATCTCTATATATCATTGGTCACATTGCGGAAAACACGCCGTGTTGCGATATTTACGACGTTAACAGCTATCGAAGATCGGAATGCATTTTTAATGAATCATTAACGTTAATGAGTCTATAAATATTTAATGATCGTTCTTGCAACCGGCTGAAAGTCTTACAATAAAATCGATAAAAATGAAGATTCCAGATGTTTGATAAATCTATAAAAGAAAAACGAACAAAAACTCAATTTTTTTTAGTCAGTTCCTATTATGAAAATCCTGGAGTGCTCTGACGGCCTTACGAGTAATTTTTAGTGCTTATAAAATAAAAATTTTCTAATAAATGTATTTTAGCTCTTTGTTGAATTTCAAATTTACCTGCCATTATTTTCTCAAATGTACATAATTATATTACACATTTTTTCACAATGTCAATATAGCATGTTTTAAGCACCATGTAAATTTATGAATACAGAAAACATTTATTACAAATTTAAAAGTAACTTTGATAGTTTATAATTTAAAATTTGCTAATATATATTTGGTCTGTTAGTTGAATTTCAAATTTGCCCCCAATAATTTTGCTAAATATACATAATTTTATTGCACACTGTCAACTTAAGCCTATGTCATATCCAGTGAGTATTACAGATCAATGATTATAATAATCTTTAACTTCATAAAAGATAAAAAATGTTTATTTTCAAATTTAAACTACAAGTTTGATAGCTTTGTTCGTAGAGTGACCAGCAACCGTTTGTAACTACTGCAAATCGCATGCACATTAAAAGTAAATTCCATCTACCTAGTCAAAAAATACCCTGTATATAATTGTTTAGTTACTGTTTGCATATGTACTTTTATTGTGACTATTATATTAATAATGATTAGAGAGAAAATATATAATCCCGAATGTCAATTTCGGAGATAAAAAATTAAAACATCTTTTGACTATAAAACAAAATGTTAATATACGAGGGTTACTTGATACGGTCATTAATTTATTGGTTTTCCAATATTATTCTAAATATAAGCAAACTACAATTTAAAAATAATGTTTTTCACACTTTATAGGGTAATTTTCTGGATTTAATTATAAAATATAAAAATAGCAATTATAATAATTACTGAGGCCTCACTTTTATCACTTTTCTCCACGTTCTCATAATTTTAAATCGAAAAACGTAAAAAAAATATCCATACGTTTGTGAGTATATATACCGACATGATAAATCTAGAATAAAGGATCCTATCGACTTGTGGTTTTGATTTTTTTGGAAACCATACTGATTTTCAAAATTTTCGATTGATCTTAAATATCAATGTGTTTAAAACCCAAGGCATTTCTTATGAAGTTTATTTTATATATTCCAACATAATAGGTCTGTTCTAACACACGCGAAATCAATAATATTACGGTAAAGTAATATTATCGATTTCGCCTTGTGTGGGAACAGACCTATGGTAATCAGACTATATGCTTGTCAACTGTGAAACCATAAATATTTTCTATACTGCTGTCACTCTTAAATGCCAAATTATTTTAAAAGAATTTAACATCCATTAATAGAAATTATTTAAAGAGGAATTTTTTGTAAGTAGATAAGCGAAAATAATAGTTTTAAGATATCAAATAAATAACATACAGGATGATGAAGTAACGATACATTTTGTGTCATCTTTAATGAACTTCAGAACGAAACATATATTAATTTGATATATGAGATATTTGTATTCCTCTAACAGTTTACTTTTAACAAAAACAACCATTTTGTCATTGAAATTGACATATCAAGTTTTCAGTTTTTTTTACATATTATTTGCAAGTCGTAAAAGTGGTGGTTTAAATTATTTTTAACGTTTAAATGAAAACAATCTTGAATAAGATAGAAATAAAATGTCAATGAAAACTTATAGTATCTTTTTATGTATACTACTGTCACCGTTATTTGTATTTGTCATTGGAACACAAATTACTTCATTACTAATAACGTATTTTATTTTGCTTTTTTGTCCCTTTGCCGTAGCTCATTATAATAGAAAAAGAAGAATTAGCAACTCTACGAAATACGTTTGTAGGACATAAAGATGATATAAAAAATCCCAAAATGTTGTAAGTGGCGCATGTGCAATATAAAATAATCACCAACCGCCGCAAACTCTACGAACAAATCTGATACAAAAACATTTTCAAAATAAATAATATTAAAAAAGGCAATGGTCTGATTGACAACATAAATACATCGCATCACAATATTAAATATAATTTACCTAAAGAAGTGTACAGCTGGATTCGCCAAACCAACTTCTGAAGAAGTGTTATTAGCCTCATTCTCCTCACAAGCGTACAATACTTCTTCGGCAGCTATACCCTGTAATACTCTGTCCAAATGACCTGTTTCCATCTGCCAGACATAAACAGTCCCATCTGAACATCCGATTATCATGAAATCATCGTTAGGTCTCCATTTGATAGTCGTCACAGGAAAGAGATGCCTTGATGCTAAACATACGCACTTTTTTTCGGCTAGGCTCAACAAGGTGACAGAATGATCTGAAGCTACAGAGCACACACATTTTTGTATCCGAGCCTAAACACAAATAAACACCATAAGGACACAGAAAGTGTATAAGAAAATTCTTTAAAATTTAATTTTGTGTTATTATTTATACGTTATAAGCATGGTATGTTTTACAATAATTCCTTTTAGGCAATAAAGCATTTTTCCCACGTAATATTCCTCAATTTTCAAGAGATGCAATAATTATGCATTCCAACGACCTGTCAAAATGCTGCTCGTGGATAATGATAGGTTATGATATGGCAACCACATGGGCCCGTTGTCTTTGATAATTATATAGATTGCTCAAAGCGGGTCGTTCTGCGAACGGCCATACTGGCTCATTAATTAGAATCGGTTTAGCAAAAATGTGTTTTAAAACCAATTTTCAGCATTTGAATATTACCTACATTTTTACCTCAAAGCATAAGCTTATGTATATTTTAAAAAACAGATGATCAATCTATATAACTATCTATACCATTGACCCTATCAAATCACCAGGCCCACAGTGTTGTCATATCATAATCTTTCATGTGCCTGTCATTACCTACGGGCAACCATTTTGTTTAGAATGCCTAATTTGAAAATATTAAGATGTATGGAAGGCAGACAGAAGTTGAACAGTATTTTAGCAGTTCTCCCACTCCATACACAGGATTTGACCTTTTATGGCGGAACTAACCGAGGTGAACGAGATACATTGGCGTAGAAAATTATGTTATAGATGCTAAAAACAAATTCGCGTATTCATGTAAATATTTTATTAAATTTTGAATAGAATGATTGGATTAATTGGGATTTTCCACATAATTTCTCAAGCAAGGGGCCTTATCTTTGCCTTATCTACTTTAATATGACTGTTAACCGCTATCTGGAGGGCAGTTACTACTTGGTCTTATCTAATACTCAGGGGTGTTCCATGGTACGATGGTCCTACCTCAGAACCCCATGCAATTAAGCTTGGGAGGGGATTCGTCAACCTTTGGTCTGTCGAGCAATATTTCTCGACCTTTACTTATACCCTTCGCTTTCCTAGGACTCATACCCACCTCTCTACCTAACCTCTACATTCGACTCTTCACTTTCCATTTACTGGGGCTCTTATAGTCCACCGCCTAGAGTCATACTTAGTCCTGCTTGGATTCTTTGCTAACCTTGTTCTATTATTTTCTTAGTGTCTAATTTTAAGTTTTACATTCCGTACCATTTTATGTTTAAATACCACATATTGCAACGTGCATTTTTAGCCGCTCAAATTACTAGAGTAAATTTGACTCGACTCGCCTCGTCTAAATATACGAGTTAAAACGTTATTTAGTCCTGATATAAGCTTTAAAGCTATTATTTTTGACGTAAACTAACTAAATATTGGTAACATGGGGATATCATTCTTATCATCTTATAAATAGATAGGAAGATGGTATTTTATTCCTAGTTCAATACATTGTAAAGCTTGATTATTATCCATAGAGTACATTACTTTACAATGCGCAGAAACCAGATTGAATTTATAGGCAGTAGGCGTGGTCACAGACTAGCGTCTTATTTATAATATTGCACAGTAGCATTCAGTAGCGTAGTAAGCGTTTTTCATTGTTATTTTCTTGTATTTAGTGTTTCGATTTGATCCAAAGAAACGTTTATTTCTTAGTTTTTCGACTATTCAATTTTGTGTGTATTTTGGTAAGTACAATTTATACCTAAATAAATCATTTAAATAGTAATAAAGTAAAGCTTAATTTATAACCGCCGTAACGTAACTTAAGAACTTTACGTAAGAAGTTGAAATATTGAATTTACGTATACTTATTTATAATGTTTGTAACGCAACTTAAGAACTTAACGTACCGTAGAAAGTTCGCCAACTTTTAACTTAACAACTTAACTTAAGACCTTACGGTTAGCCAATGAGATAATTCTGAGTTCAGCATGTGATAACTGTCAATTATTCTCTTTTTATTTTTTTTATAAATGAATAGACAAATACCATTTGTAAACTATCATTCTCCTTTTTGATGGACATACATTATCATGAATGATTTGTGTTTATGTTATTGGGGATAAACTATTTATGAGATATGAGTGTTGCTGCATATACCTATAAACATCAAATCTAGAACTGAAATAAGACACAAAACTAGTTTGCTAGGAAATATTAAATTCTCATTATTGCTCAAAAACAATCAACATCTTCGGTAAACTATTCTGTTTTATTATATTTTTATATTATTGCTTTTAAAGTAGTTAATATATTCTTTCTATATAGCAAAATCATAATTTATAAGTTTTATTTAGAGGTTAGGTACATAGTTTACACTTGTTTATTTCATACGGTTGTCTGTAATTTGATAATCTCTGAAATCAACACGCATGCTCAACTCTTACGTTACGGACATTTATAAATATACTTTATTTTTATATCTTAGGTTAAGTTTCTACGGCGTTAAGTTAAGTTACGGTGGTAATAAATTATACTTAAGTTTTATAAATGACCATTCTTAAAAATTAGTATTTTTATACTTATTCTGGTATGTAAAATCATCTAAAGGTCGAAAAATCGTGGTATTTTTTGTGCATATTAAAATAGAGGTACTTTTAGAGAACCAGGGGTATGCACATTAATGAATCGTTTACATATTACTCATATTTATATGTTCAAGATTAAAGTTTAATTATAATTCATTTAGGTGTGGTCGTAGATAAAATCTATGAACACGTGTGAAGTGCTTCACATCTTTAGAACTAAAGTGACACAAGTTGGATATTATTCATTTTAGTCATAACTTTTCTATATATTTCAAATATGCTACGGAAAAACAGTTAACCGACCTAGGCCAATCAAGCAAGGTTAAATATCGAGGAGCTCTAATTTCGAATCGTGCTTTTTTAGGTATAATTTACTTTTTAAAGTAATAATTAATTTTTTTTCCGTTGTAAAATGATTATAAAATTTGAATACTCACAGTTTTAATTGAATAACTTTTTAAAAATAATAATTACTGTTTAAGCAGCAGCTATCAAGAATATATTATCTAGGCACTCTTACAGTTCACGACCAAATGGGTTATAAAGAATTTTTAATAAAATAATTTCAAACTTAATTTTTAAATTTCTTAAGCACATTCGAATAAAAAATAATGTATGAACCACGGACAAAAATTTGTTTTATAACTCCTAGTAGTCGTCCTAAAAACTTAAACTTTTCGTCCTTGGTACATAAACTACTATTATATACCTTTTATTCAAAACCAAATTTCTTACATCTATTAGCTTGTTGAACGACATGAATTAAAAACATTTATTAGGACAAAAGGGCCAAGTTCTTCACGCCCAGACCAAATAAATAAATTCACGCCTGATTAACTTCATGAAAGACGAGGCCGAAAATGGTGTTAAAATACCATTCAACAAATACAGAGAGAGGGTTCTAGCTGCTACAGAAATATCTTTGAATAGTTATTAGGCATTCCAAACAAATGAATTACCAGTGGGCAGGTTTGGTATATCTAAGGGTGGCGACATATGATGTATTCTATCTACTTTACGTAAAATCATGAATAATGGATTACATTTAAATATTTTATGTCAAACACAATAAAAATAATATTTAAAAACCCACCTATACATTTCTTCATAAATTGGCAGGCTTGACGAGTACTACTTCGAATAAAAATAGCGTCCAAGTTGCAAGACTATGTCGCTACCCCCCTAAATATACAAGAATTTCCCACTGGCACCTATTGTTTGACAGGTCGTTGGAATGCCTAATTGTAGAATACAGACGATGGCGCGTAAAGTAGAAAACGGAGTTAGTACTTCATTTTCACATTTTTCTCAAGTAGGTAAGGTGAAAGTAAGTCCAGTTGTTAAATCCATGAGGCCTGCAGAATTGGAACAACTCAGGAGCATAATTCTTGATTTTCATATCATTGAGAAAAAGCTACCAACTCTAAAATGTAAGTGACTTTTTCGATATTAATGACAATGTATTTTATTAGAATTTATTGCAGGTATATTACAAAAAATCTGATGTGTGACTTTCCTATCTAGTTATTATAGGCTTTTTCCGGTTATTTTGTACAACCTATTGCAGCATCTCTATAAATGTTTAGAGGATAAACTAAATATATACATTGTCCACATATAACTACCTCGAAACATTTTTCTATAGATATTCATTGAAAACGAAAAAACTGAAAAATTTTAATTTAGCACTTTTCCATTACGGTCCATTTCAGAAAAATCATGTATAAACAAAAATTATATCAAACAACTTTTAGTTCAACAATTTTCATAAAATTCAGAACTTTGCACATTTTGTCAAATTTCTCGAATACGGACCATTTCAGGAAATTTTGACATAAAACAAAAATTATAGATAATATTATTGGAAGTAACTTTTATTTGAACAATTTTCTTCTCCAAACATAAATAACAGATATTTTCCATAAAATATAAAAACGGCCTCCCATAAAGTACCCCCCCAGATGTTCCGACTTTGTCCAAAATCTAATCATTTCACGTCAGTCCGAAATAAACCTTAAGTTTAAAATTTTTTTCTTTATCCGTTTTTGAGTTTTCTTCAAAATTCGAAATTTACACATTTTTTCAAACGTCTCGAATACGGTCCATTTTAGAGAAATTATGTATAGAATAAAAATTATATTACAAACAACTTTTATTTAAACAATTTTTATAAAATGCCAGTTATCACAACGTGAAATTTAGAAAAATCGATTACAAGCCAGACTAAAAAGGCAGATTTGATTAGCTGGCTCGTTCAACGTAGCATTCCACATGATGCTAAAATGACAAAACCGGAACTTTACAGACTCATCAAAGTTCACAGACCATCACCAACATTTCTTTTAGATAGCCTTCTACAAGAAAGTGGACACGACGTTCTGCGTTTGTCTCCATACCATCCCGAATTAAATCCCATAGAGAAAATATGAGCCCAAGTAAAAAACTGGTTGGGCCAACACAACATTTAAATTAAATGATGTTGAAACATTAGCAAGAGAGAA